ACAACCAGAGACTTCGTTTAACTGTCTCTAGGCTCACTGACATGGGTGACCTTCAGGAGAAGCTGAAGATCCCTGCCACAAAGCTGAATGCACACCTGGCTCAAGACTTAAGAGGAGCTGAAAGGGGGATTCTACAGGAGTTGGAAGAGCTATAGGCCTGAATACTATCCATCAACAGCAAGGTGTCTAAGTATAGGCATGTCAGTGTCAAAGTACATGCACTGCCACTGGGCCTGTTACCCAGCCCTTCATAGTGTATTGGCTGCCATTTCACTTCAATTTTCCAAATCTTTTTTTCAGTGCTGGGGATTGAACCCAGGACTTGGTACGTGGCAGACAAGTGCTCTACCACTGAGCCTATATCCCCAGCCCCAACTTTTCAAATCTTGCACAAAATTTTCTTGTGGTTATCACTAACCTGGGATCATAAGAAGGGAATCCTGGGAAACACAGTTTAAGTTTAGCTAAACTGACACATTACAAAGCCACCATAAGCATGCATACCTAGTACAATAAATCTGTTGGGACCTCTGGCAGAAAGAGCTAGACTATGAGCTCTGTTTCTTTGGGACCCAGCACAGCAGCTCTCAACAGATGTTCACTGACTCAACAGAACTCACTCCCCACTTCCCCACTCAAACAAATGTTTGAGTATGTTCTGGGGCCCTGGGAAACAGCCCAGTATTTTCCTGAAGAGTGCCATTTGCATAAAAGTCAATGGAACCATTGTTGGAGGTTTTCTGTTTTTCTGGAGATGAGGGAACTGAAACTGTACAGGGGTTTGAAGTAGCCAGCTTTCACACACAGACTCAGAGTGGATTCAAACCTCAGGGGGTTAAAGAACACAGCATCCAATATGCAAATATGCCTGCAGCCAGGATTGCGGAGGTGAGAACTCCAGGCTGACAGCAGGCAATTCACACTTAAGAAAAGTGGCAGAGTGCCTGAGGTGCTTAGAAAAAACCTGAACAAAAAAACCCCTCAATGTCATCAGAAGGTTCGAGAAGCTAAGGAAAAGTGTTCTTGGCTTTCTCTATAGATAGAATTCTCTTATAGCCCAGGAGGTTTAGGACCTACATGCCAAAAAAGAATTTACAGATAAATGGCTATGCTGATGTGGTTCAATGCATCTATCAAATTAATCAGAGTGCTACTGCAGGCATAGTTCAACCCCCAAAGTCCTCATAAAATATATTTATTTACTTATTTATCATTATTTGTGGTGCTGGGGATTGAACCCTGGGCTTTGTGCTTACTAGGCAAGCACTCTATCACTGAGCCATACCCCTAACCCCATGAATATATCTTTACATACAGAAAGGATTCCTCAGCTCCTCCTCCTGACATTCCTCATAGTCTAAAATCCTTTTAAGTAGTGTTTCACACCACCATGTTATCAATTAAGTATCAGACTTACACTGTATAAAGTTCTGTACAACTATTGTTTCTAACCCTCAAGATAATCTTTTAAGGCCCGGCATGGTGATGCACTTCTGTAATCCCAGCACCTGGGAGGGTAAGGGAGGAGGATCTCAAGTTCTAGGCCAGCCTGGGCTACACAGCAAGATGCATCTTAAAAAAAAAAAAAAAAAAGACAATCATTATCCTCTCCAGTTTATGAGGAAACTGAGATATTAAGAAGGTTAAAATACTTGCCCAAAGGCATAGCAAAATTGTATATGGATTTGATTCAAATAAGTCTAACTCCAAAGTTTGTATCTTTTTTCCCCTTTCACAGCTTTGCTCATCATGAAAGAATAGGGCTTAAGGACACACAAATGGTTTATAAAATCACTTCAGTTTTTAGAATTCCTAGTATTTCATGTATATTCATGTGGAGGTTGTTTAAGATGTCTAGCTGGAATCCTTTCCAGCAAACAGGTTTTAGGTGGGAGGACAGAACAGTAGATGAAGGTCCTGGTACCCAAAGACGACTCTGGAAGGGAGAAAGTATAGCCTACAGCCCCTAAAAGTACCGATCTGAAAAGGGTTTCTTTGCTTCCACTGCTCTCTTTTACAAGGTAGGAACCTAAAACCCTAAATTCAAAGCCACACCCAAAGCCTAGGGATTCAAAAGTACTAAGTACTGGGCACACCTTTGATGCCAGCCTTGGGCAAGCAGATAAGCGTCTTAACTTGGTGACCAGAAAATTTTCCCAGGTCACTCCATTGTGAAGAGGAAGCCATCTCTGTCTGCTAACAAACAATTCCATGTGACTACTCACATTTCCCTCACTTCCCACATCATAAGAACCTTTGCTGCAATTTGCCAGTTTTTCTTCTTTCCTTTTGGTATGGACAGTAATGAAGCATCCATCCACAAATAAGGTTCTGTCTTATAACAACAATAACAAAAGGAGGAAAGAAAAAAAGAAACAAAAAAGAAAAAGCACCTAACTATAGGAATACACAAATATTCCCTCACAACTGCCATTTCTTTGTCATCAGAGACAAGCTGCTGAGTCATTTTTCAATCTTTGCTTATTTGGCTGAAGGAGGAAGCAGGAGATTTTACCTTAATGGCATATTGACTTCTAGGATGAGGCCAAAAATCAGAAAAGGTTGGAACAAAAGTTTTTCTTAAGGAAGATTTGTTAAGTGGACTATTAGTGCCATCTGCTGTTCAATTCTAGAACGCAAGCTTGGGGGACTTCTAACATTAGAGCCTGAAGGGATTCCTTTACTTATATGTCTGTTGAGTGTGTCCTGTGTTGCAGGATTGAAGGGTAAATGTGGGCTGAATACTACAAAATCCTGACTTTATAGAGGTTCACAGTGTTGTGAAAGTGGAAGGCATTCAAATAGACAAGTTAGTGTATTTTGTGCACTATAATGGTATATGTAAGATGGAAAGATAGCAAAGAAGAATCTTTAGGACAAGGAAGTACTCCATAAGGATTCTGGAGGATGACTAGGAGTTTTTACCAAGCAGAATAAAGGTAGAGGCAAGGGGCATTTCAGGAAGAGGGAAGAACAAGTGTGAAGACCTTTCTAGCACAGATAACATTCCACTGGCACAAAGCTTACTTTATATTCTGTAGGCAATTGAGGCCTTTGACTTGTTTTAGGTAGGCCTATAATGTGGTCAGACTGACATTTTACAAAGACATTCTGACAGCAAGTAGAGAACAAAATAGAAGGAAAGACTAGAGGCAAGGAAACCAGTTACAAGCCTAGTCCAGGTGACAAATAATATGGAATACAGAGCCTATCAGAAAAGAAAGGAGGGGGTGAAAGTGAGAGATAGTTCAAGTAAAATTTAGTACTCAGGAGACTGAGGCAGGAAGATTGAGAGTTCAAGGTCAGCCTGACATACTAAGACTCTCTAGAAAAAAAAAAAAAACACCATAGGTACTTCTGCAACCCACCTTCCCCCAATTTGGTACATGTACCTTTCCAACCTGCCCATGTAATCTAGTATTACAAGGATTTTCATCCTCTTTCATCAGAAACATTACAAAACAGGAAAGTATGGCTGGGTTTGCAGTAATAAAGAACAAATTACTGAATTAAATCATTGTTACTTGCAGAAACATACTTCCTCATTTATGAAATGAAGATAACACCTACTTTTCATGGTTGTAAAAGTTAAAACAGGTTTGACCTATCAGAGGTGCTTAATATGTAAGTCATTCCTATCCTTTGTCGTAAAAGGTCATCTGAAACCTTCTCTGTTTTAATGGCACCCTTTTAGCTTTTACTGATAATTGAATCAATAAATTTTCTGTAAAACAGCTGGTGAAACTGCTCACCACATTAAGTATTTTATGTGTAAAAATCCGTAAGATAAGCTGGACTTTGGTGGCTCACACTTGTAATCCTAGCTACTTGGGATGCTGATGATTGGAGCTAGCCCTGGCACATAGTTCAAGAGACCCCCATCTCCAAAATAACTAGAGCAAAATGGACTGGAGATGTGGCTCAAGTGGTAGAGCACCTACTTTGTAACAGGGAAGTCCTGAGTTCAAACCCCAGTCCCATAAAAAGAAATCAACAAGATAAATTCTTCCTGATGTAGATTTTTTTCTCTTTTGAAAATGGACTCCCTCCAGCACCACTTTCTTTCTTTTTTTGTGGTACTGGGGGTTGAACTCAGGGCCCCCCTTTAGGCTCTACTATTTGAGCCATGCCTCCAGCCCTGTTTACCGGTTAAGAATGGCCTTTTTTTTCCCCTTAACTGACAAATTTTGAGCTAAATTGAGTACTCAGTTACAGTAAGTACACCACAAACTGTACACAGCTGGTTAGTATATTGGTTTGTTCTTATGAGATGATAGCTTCCTTTTTTTTTTTCTTGAGAAGTTACTACTTGCCAGGCATTGTGTGAAATGTCTAACTATCATTATTTCACTTATCTTCACTGAGACCCGCTGGACATTACTGCCACTTTTCAAAGAAAAAGGAAACTGACTCAGAGATGTGTCTGGTAGCCATTCAAACAGGTCTGCCCCGACTACCAGCATCATTAATCTTAACCTCTACTCTATATCAATGCTTTGCACTTGACAATTTGATTGTATCCAGTTTATATTAAGCTGCTGCGCCTTTTTTTTCTTTCATGAAGGTGGTGGGACTCTCGTGTGACCTTAATTCTGCTATTGTTGCCAAGATGTTATTCATTCAGTACATGAAGCAATTACAAAGTCTCTTCTGGAAAACCAGTAAAGGGTAGCAACAAAGTGAAAATGAGGCCTAGGTAGGAGAAGGAATGGTGTCTGGTCCCCTAGGTCCTAAGCCCTTGCCGGTCTCTGGGATTCCGACGACACTTCCTATCACCACTTGCATGGAGGCAACCAGGGATCATAGGACCACGAAACCTTACAGATAGAAAAACTGAGGTCTTTCGAGAGGCTGGGCATGAACTGCCCATGCCTGGTTGCCAGCTGGGAGGACCGCGTGTCCACCCTGCAGCGACAAGAGGTTAGCTGTAGACTTGCAAAGCAACAAGCCCGGGTTTCTCCACAGAAAGCTAACGCCAGGTGGGACCTAAGGCTACTCACCCGAAGCCAGGGAGGCAGGAGGCGGGCCTTGAACGGAGACTCTTAGTACACCAGCCAATCAGAAGAGTTCGATTGCACAACTCGCGACCAACAGAATTGAGCAGAAGAAGCTGGACTCCATCTAGGAGGTGCCGTTCTCTCACTGAGGTCACGCGAGATGTTCGCTCAAGAGGAACTATTGGTTGAAAGACGGAAATTAGGCGCTCAGCACGCTGCTGACTTGGATCTCTGATTGGTCTTCTAGGGGAGAAGGCGGTGAACGACATCTGGATCCTTGAGTGCCCATTGGTGGGCGGTGAGGGACTACCGGCGGGCGGGCGACAGCGCGGCTGTTCGAATTGGCGCTTGGCGGCGTTGCCATGGGGATGCGGCCTGGCCGCCGCCGGAGGCTCACGGGTTGACAGGACACTCAGGTCCGCGGGCCTTGGGGCTCCCTCCAGGTGGGGTCATTTTCTCCTGTACTCAGGGCTGACCGAGGAGGAGTTCGGAAGCCCCGAAGGTGAGAAAGGGCAGAGGGACCCCAGGGGCGTCTGCCCCGCGCAAGAGGGTGCGCCAGCCGCCCGTCGAGCGCATGGGGAGACCGGCGTTTGTGCGGGACCTCTTCCTGTTTATCCAAACGTTCACCCCTTTCCTGCTTTTCATCCCCACATCTCTGCTTCTTCTTTAGCAATTATCTTGAAGTTTTTCTGAGTCCCAAAGTACCCTTGCCTTTGAACCGTGATCGAACTGGACTCTCCCGGAGGTTCCATTTGGCTTTGGGTTACTTGTGCACTGCGTAAACCCCATTCTTCCATATAATTTTGAAGTCTTTGAGGTAAGACAAATCTCTCCCGACACACACACACACACACACTCTTACATGTAGTAAGTTTCCAGGAAATACTCAGTTGAATTTAATTCATCACAAATAGATTTTTTAATTCCCCCTTATTCCCTGCCCTGTTCCTGTTCTTTCTCCCATTCAGAGATTTTTTTTTTTTTTTAAATTTTGGGGAGCGGGGGAGGACACCTAATCTCACGTGCAAAAGGGCCTGAAAATTCAAGGTTGGCCCTTCCACTCTTTATGAAAGGCGAAACTTGTTGTATTGGTTGCTGTAACTTCCTGCGTTGACTTTTAGTTTTGGTCGACTAATACTTTTTGGTAGGGTTTTAAAATGTTTTAGTAGACTCCTAAAAGTATTCTGTTGTTTTATGCCAGAGAGTTAATCTCCTTTGAGCTTCTTAGTGACCCACAGCTATTGTCATGTTTTAAATGTGCCTTGGAAAATGTTTTAAGACATTTTTCCTTTGTATTTGTATTCTATAGAGAGGTTTGTAGTCTCTCTACAAAACATTGCAATTAACAGCTCGGTTAGGCTCCTATCCATTCATCAGGTGTCCATAATAGAATTGCATCACCAAGACTGTTTCATTGTTAATTCATGGCCTGTATATTCAGTCTCATTGCTGATGATTCTTCCTAATATCAAATTCACAGCTCAATAGTGACTTTAATGAAAGGACTGAAAAAGTTAGGTATAGCAGCTTTCGTAGTTTGGATTTGAAATGTCTCCCAAAGGCTAATGTGTTGAAGGTTTAGTCCCCAACCATTTTGCAAGTCATTTACTTTTTGTGTGTGTGTGTGTGATACTGGAGTTTGAACTCAGGGCCTACACCTTGAGCCACTCCACCAGCCCTTTCTTGTGATGTGTTTTTTTGAGATAGGGTCTCATGAATTATTTGCCTGGGCTGGCTTTGAACCTCCATCCTCCTGATCTCTGCCTCCTGAGTAGCTAGGATTACAAGCGTGAACCACTGGTGCCTTTACTCCTTTAGATCTTACTTTTCCTACCTGGAAAATGAAAGGGTTGAATTAGATTAGAATTCCTGTGGCTGTCCTATCAATTTAGTCAATAATTGATATCAAATAAACATCACTTTCAGTCTTCCAAATTAGTAGCTACCATTTACTGAGCACTTAACCCTGTGCAAGCCACTATTTCAAAGGCTTTGTATGAGTACTATATTTTTATTAGTATAGCATGTAAGTGGCTGCCCAGAATTTCACTAAAAACTTTTGTTTTATGTTGTTAATGAAAACCTTTGGCTATTCATAGAATGTCCTTAGAAAAAATATATTATGGTCCTCTCATATTCCAGTATAAGAGGAGCAGTTTCTTTGGTCTGCTGTTTTGTTATTTGCAAAATGAAGGGTTGAACTTTTCTCAGATATTTTCCAGATGTAGTGTTCTGGGATTGATCTGTTAACCCATATTCTCCATGTTGGCTCAGCAAACCTGTTCATAATTTGTACAAAGCAGATCCTCAACAAGGATTTGTTTAGTTTCATTTTTCTTAGTACTGGTGATTGAACCTAGGGACTCAAGCCTGCTAGCAAGCTCTCTATCACTTAAGCTATGCTCCCAGCCCTTGGTTTTTATTTTGTTTTTGACATATGGTCTTGCTAACTTTGCCTAGTTTGCTCTACCATGCCTGGCTAACAAGTTTTGTTAAATGAATAAGAGCCAGGTGCAGTGACACACATCTATAATCCCTGCCACTCAGAAAGTTGAGGCAGGATTGTTTGAGTTCAGGTTTCACCTTAATTCTCCTCTGATCATGCAATGTAAAGTAGGCCTTTCATTTTAAAGTAGGCCTGCTTTGTTTTTTCATTGCACTGTCACCATCTGAAATTATCCTGCTTATTTGATTATTATCTCCTCACTAGGATAATAAATAGTGCCGTGAAGATCGTAACCTTGTCTGTTTTGTTCATTACTGTATACCCAATGGCTAGTTCATAAAAAGTTCTCAAAAATATTTCTTGAATGACTGGATAAAGGTTCTTGTTGCAACTGTGTCCATATTCATTCATGTAATACAACCTTGCCTCATATTGATGCTAAAAGCAGTGATCAGGGCACCACCAATTCTGCCAGTATAAGAGGAACAGATACCAAAGTTTCTACCACTTATGGTTACAAATAGTATCAAATGCTTTTATAGTTTTAAACATAATATTAGAGATATTTATTCATTAAACAATTATTGAATGTGTATTTCCAGACACTGTTTTAGATACTGAGGATAATAAGATTAGTAGGATACATTCTTTGACCACAAGGATATCATATTCTGTGGAGGAACATAGACATTTATAGGTAATTATCACATAGTATAACTAATGATAGAGATATGCAAAAGGTACGATGTGCACACAGAAGGGGCACCTAATCATATCTGAAGAGTTCAGAAAAAGACCCCATTTGTGTTTTATTTAGTAAATAAGAGGTAGACAGGTAAAGTCAGGTTTGATGAGAGTGGGAGAAGGCCAGTTAAGAACAAACTATGAGCTGGACACCAGTGGTTCATGCTTGTAATCCTAGCTACTTGAGAGGCTGAGGTTGGGAGGATCAAGATTTAAGACCAGTCTGGGCAAATACTTCGAGAGAATTCATCTCCAAAATAACCAGAGCAAAATGGACTGGAGCTTTGTCTCAAGTGGTAGAGTGGCTGCTTTGCAAGTGTGAAGCCCTGAGTTCAAAACCCAGTCCTTCTCTCTTCCAAAAAAGCACACCATGAATATATGCACATAGAAATAAAGCAGTTTAAAATATTGCATAAACTGGAGAGAGGAACTAGATTATAGGCTTTGTGGGACATGCCAAGGAGCTTGGACTTTGCCCTGTATATAAATGAAAAAAATGCCTTTGAAGAGTTTTAAATAAAGTAACAGATGGTTATACCTGTGTTTTCAAAAGAATGATTTGGCTTAGCAGTCTGGAGGGTGGTTTGGAAGTAGGCAAAACCGGAGGTATGGAGAACCCCTAAGAGACATGTAATATTGTAGGTGAGAACTGTAGACAGTGGTGGTAGAAAAAAATACAGGAGAAGTTTGACAAATATTTAGATTAAATTGACTGGATCTGGTGATTAAATTTGAGATTAAAGGAGAAGAAGGCATCTCAGATGTTTCCCAGTTTAGCTCTTGAGTGGCTTCATGGATGGTACTATCATCACTCATCCCAAAGAAGAGAAAGGTAGAGGAGCAGACTTCTGTCAGAAGGTAATGAATTGTGTTATTGACAAGGATTTCATATGCTTAATCACATATATTTTGACAGTGACATCTGCATATTTTTGCTACAACACATATCTGTGATGTTGTCTATCTTATTGTGAAGTGCACTTAAGTTGCCCTTGGATTCTGGACAGGTACTCTACCACCTGAGCCATCCCCCCAGCCAACATTTGGATTCTGGAAGTACCCCACTTAATAACTGCACAAATCCAGGCCAAAAGATTAGGTGAAATTTCACTACCAATGAGGAGTAATACTGTACCTGCTATAGTCTTTCAAGTTAGCCACATGTTTATAGTGACATTTGATTGGTTAAAACTAGTAGCATAGAATTGTGTAGCCAATGTATGACTATCAATTCACTTTCTAAACCAATTCAGGTAGTCATTTTGAATAAATTAACTTATGCCTCAGTTTTTTCATTTGTAAAAAAGAGATGATAATTGTTATCTATCATAAAATATCTTGGAGATTAATTAGTAGCACATTACTTAAACATTGATAATTTAGTTCATAGTGGTTAGAATTTTTTTTTTCAGTACTGGGACTTGAGCTCAGGGCCTACACCTTGAGCCACTCCACCAGCCCTTTTTTGTGATAGGTTTTTTTTTTCAAGATACAGTCTCATGTACTATTTGTCCAGGTGGTTTTGAACCTCAATCCTTCTGATCTCTGCATCCTGAGTAGCTAGGATTATAGGCATAAGCCACTGGTGCCCAGCTAGAATTATTATTTCTAAGCTGTTTACTGCTTTCTCAATGTCACTCCTTTGGAAATAATTCTGGGTGCTATAATGGCAACTGTTTCTAAAGGGCTATAAACCTAACTAGAATAATTTACATCATCTTGGAGATTTATAAAAACTGACATGAAATGATTTTTTCTTTTTTTGTGGTACTAAGGCTTAAACTCAGGGCCTACACCTTAAGCCACTCCACCAGCCCTTTTGGGGTGTATGTGTGTGTGTGTAAAGGGATTTTTCAAGATAGGGTCTTGTGAACTGTTTCCCCAGGCTGAACCAAGGTCCTCCTGATCTCTGCTTCCTCAGTAGCTAGAATTATAGGCATGAGCCACCAGCGCCCAGCAAAATAAATTTGTTCAAAGTATTTTATGACTGAAAAGTGGCAAAAATCTGCAAGTGACAACTTCCTGAGTTTGGATTAGACCAAGATTTTAAAAATAAACCACTGAACTCAAACCTCCCATTGGTTCCCACCTGTTCCTGGGAATTCTTTCAAAATTAAACTTCTGTATTTAGAGAGTAGAAATACTTGCACTGTTTAAAGATAACTGGGTTCAACTATTTTGTTATGTTTATTTTTAGGTGATTACCCCCAAGCTTTTTACCAAATTTAAAAACTTAATAAATCTCTGTGTGGCTTTTGAAGGAAATTGTAGTAATTGCACAGTAATTGCTACTTAACCATAAATGAACTTGA